CTCACTAGTTGACCGCTACAGTAAACGCCAATGGCCCAGATTGAATTTGGGCCGATCTGATGGTCACGACCTCTTTTCGTGTTTGAATTGTAATTTTTTTCAATAAATTTAAATCACTTGAAATTTTAGGTGTTTATTCTTCTCATCAAGGCGCACCTAATAAAAATATAAAAAAAATAATCCGTAAAAACAAAATTGACCAAAATACCCCCGAAACTTTACAGGGGTATTTTGGTCAATTTTTTCATGTAAAATGTTTTTTGTTTTTTGAAGATTCATCTGTTTTTTATGTACACTCGCTCTAAATTTCAGATCAATCCGATTTGTAGAAAAAAAATTAAAATTCAAACACTACTGGACATTCGGGATCGTCAGATCGACCTAGATTCAATCTAGGCCGTTGGCTTTTATTGTAGCAGTACGCCCTTGGGCTGACAGGATCTTTTCTCTATATATATATAGAAAACTCTTAAAAAGGCCTATAGGCGAACTTGAATAATGTTTCGCCTCGCTACGAACGTGCTATGTCTGTGGTGGTTTTGCTTTAAAAACCGCTACGGATCTACAGGAGCTGTGGCGGTTGCCCATGTTTTTTTGCATGAAGAAATACCACAATGAGCTTACTATGTCCGTTGTGGTCGTTTAATCCACATCGTCCAAAAAAATCGGACGGTGCCGAGCCTATGGACAAAAATACTATTCATTTCGCCCATAGGCATTGCGCAGTGGCTTCTATATATATATATATGTATGTATGTATGTATGTATGTATGTATGTGTGTTTGTTTGTTGCATTAGCATCACCTTTTCAATTATGTCTGACATCCAAATCCATCTTAGAGATTTTAAAATTTCATGGGTTAGTAATTACTACAATCACGATAATTAATCTGAAAAATAAATAAATTTTGAATTATAGAAATAACGTATTTTGAATTTTTTTTTGTGCCCTCCATTTTAATTCTTTGCCGATCATCTGATCTGCATTATTTTTGAAGCTGCTGAAATTGCTTGGATCTGAAGCGGAATGTATTTGTAGTGATTTGAGATGTATTTCCCTTCTTAAATCCATGGAAAACCAAAGTGGACTCATGTGTTGGGTGATGCATGATAAACTCTCTTAACACACACACACAGAGTGAAACATATATATGCATATTCTCTCTTTATTATGGTTTTTAAGTCCAATTTGTACTATTCAGGCTTTTGGTATCATCTTTTATTGCTGTCCTCAGTCATATGTGATGTGCTCTTAGTTACCCAATCAAGGATTGTGCTGTGCTGTAAGAGATTGTCTTATCCCCAAGGAGGGTAATTAATGATTAGTTTCATAAGGAAAACTCGTTTCCTGAAATACTTCTGTACCATCTCGAGATTTGTTGAACCTGTCACATATTTCGAGGTAATCTGAACTTGGAGACATTCTTAACATTTAAGTTGTTATGTAGACATCCATGCCTCTTGTCTTTCCATCGGAGCAGTGTTTCTGTCATATTCCAGGCTGCTGGCCTGGGGATGGTGCCCATACTTTCCAACATGGGGAGTGTGTCATGGGTACAACAAAATAGACAGATCAGTTCAAACTGTGTCATGTCAGTGACAAACGATGCATCTTGCCACTTTCAGTCCTTCGCATTTAAAGTATGCCTCCTTAAAAAAGAAATTATCATAAAAGGCATTATTTTGATGAAGTTGGTAATTAAGATGCATAGTGGCATATACGGCCCTGGGTTGGGAAGTTTTTGTATACTGTATTCTCTTACAAGGTCAACAGTTTCAAAAAAAGATGTATTGTGGCATATTGAATTTTGTGTTGGAGCACTAAATGTCTCTACACTTGTAGACACCAAACCTCTTGTGGTGTCTATGTGGCTCTGCCTAGGAGGAAAAAAGGAAACATCATCTTTTGGAAGATGAAGAGAAGCTTTTGTGTGTATGTGTGTCCATGGATAGTGAATTAGTGATGCATTGGTAAAAGGTGAAAGGGTAGGCTTGTCAGCTTCTAATTCCCACAGGTATAGGACTGTTTTTACTTGGATTTTTCCAATGGACTGTTGTGATGGTTGAATGTTTTGGGAAATGTCAGGGTGCTTTCTATTGCTGACGGGTTTTTCATTCATAAGGGCTGTGTTAGAGTTACCTGAGTGCAATGACAGATGATGACCTTCATTGAGGTAATTATCAGTGCGTACATGAGATGCTACAATCACCATTAAACATTTTACCCTACGATTTTTTTATTCTTCCATCGGACATTGTTCCATTTCCTTATAAGATTATGGTGGTTTCCACTATCATATGCCATTTGGAACACTCATCTAATGTGTCCTTTTACTTAGTTGATGTAAAAATTAGCAAAGAGCTTCTCAATCAAGGGGTGGGATCATCTGTATCATATTCTGTGCCTGTGTACGATGTTACTTAACTGGAAACATTTACCGTGAAACCTACCCGACCTGTTCTTATGTGGACAAGTTTACCAAAACTTATTGGCATGCAATCACTCAAAGTGACCATATATTTACAGCCATTTGTATGAACTGTGAATATCTTTGTTGTGTTATTGTTTCTAACTAAATAATTTCTTGGTTGGTCTCGTCTTTTGTTTGCTGCTACCATGTTTTGCTCTATCTGACTTTTACACCTAGATTCCGATCTGCATGTCCAGCAGTCACAATAATCATGAAAATATTGGAACTTGGTTTTATGGTATGATATCATCAATTTGTATTAGTTCATTACACTTTTTCACGATTTGGGCTTGGGCTTGATTGGTTAAGGTGTTGACATTGCAACACCACACCGCCAGTTTGAATCCCACTGCTGAACTCCTGCAAAAAATGCGTATTCACTTTCCAACATGAAGGCTATTGGACTTTAGTCTGCTTGGTCATGGCCATCATGCTCTTTTTGTATGCTTTCTCTTTCTCTCTCTCTCATTCTCTTTCTCTGGCATACATTGTCCTTGCTCTCTATCTTACCGACATTTTATTGATTTATCCATAGGAGATAAAAGGGTGGGTCTGTCAGTTTAAGGATTAATTTTAGCTTCAAATAAAAAAACAAACTACCTTTGAATCATCATCCGCCATTTTCTTCCTTCTCTAGAAATCCTGGCTAGACCGAAGCGGCCCAAGCCGATGACACCTTCCTCCAAGCCCCCTGACCCTGCACCTGACGAGCTCGCAAAGAGGCGCGAGTTCAACAGGCTTAGGCAGCGCAAGTACCGAGCTCACATGAGTCCAGAAGAGAGGGAGCGCACTAAAGAGCTACAGCGCCGATATCGACAGCAGCTCCCTGTGCGCATGTGCAAAGCCATGCGCATGCCCATCACACCTGAGAGCATCGCCTATGCCGCCAAGATGGTGCGTGAACGCCAACGCATACTCCGCCTCCACAGAGTGAGTGGCCCCAAGAAAAACCCCAAGTCTCATGTGCACAACGAGACTGGCCATGTGCTCAGTGATGGAGCCACAGGTGAGCCAAGTAGGCTTAAGAGACCTCCCACTTGTATGGAAGATGTGGCTCGTGAGTTCATTGCGTTTGCCTCTTTCTCTCTCTACCAGATGCCCCTCTTGACGTGTAGGCAGTGCAGGGATGCGGTTGAGAAGGCAAAGGGGGAGCAAGGGGCTCAGAATGTGGTGCATAGTTGTACTTATGGGCTAGTGACCACACCACCTTGTAATGGTGCAAAAGGGAGCACCACATGTAATGGTATTGGTGCGCAAATGCGGAGCACTGCATGTGGTACTACAGTAAAAATGGTGGGCAGTGTATCCAATGGCAGTTGTGTACAAATGGTGATTGGTACATGTGATGATATTGGTGTACAAACTAGTTCTGCTGGGTGTAATGGTAATGGAGTACAAAAGGGGGGCAGTGTATGCAATGGCAATTGTATACACATGGGGGGTAGCACGTGTAATGGCAATGGTGTACAGATAAGTGGCGGTGTATCGGACGGCAATGCTGCATGCAATGGCAGTGGTGTACCAATGGGAGCAAGTGCATGCAATGGCAATGGTGTACAAATGGCAGCCGATGCGTTGAATGACAGTGGTGTACAAATGGGGGGAGGTGCCTACAATGACAAATGAGGTACAAACAGGTCGATTGGGCGGCGGCCAAGAATCGGATTCTGCAATTTTATGCTCAAGGGGTGGAGATAGAGAGAAGGTTATGTGATTTAAGAGGGCTAAAAGATGGATTGCTAAAGAGAAGCAAGATCTTGCAAAGTAAAGGGTTGGCTAATGGATCTGGCTGTTAACTCTTAATTTTCCTTTTTGTTTCGAGAGTTGGAGAGTGGCTGATAAGTCCCTATTTTCCTCATCCGTTCAGAGGTTGGAAGCAGGGACTACTAGCTCCCTGTAATTTCTGAGCTTGGGGGTTCTAGGTAATGATTTTTTGGTTTGAGAAATGGAAGATCCATGGTTTTTTGTATGGTTTGTAAATTTGGGTCTGGTTTATTTTTTAATTATGATTCTCTCGTGTGAATATTTGAGCTTTTTTGTGTATATGGTTCTGTGGTTTCTAATCTAGATGCAGCAATTCAATAGTGTTGAGATCTGTTTGTGAAGAGATACATGATAGTGGTTGGTAAAGGGCCAGGCCAAGGCCAGGCTAACCCTGACCTTAGCAAGTCCCCTGCCTGCCCCTGCCCGTTGACTGGGTGGAGCGGAACCAGGCCTAAATGAAAAAAGTTTAGGGGCCAGCCCTTTTGTGGTCCAGCACTCTCATGGACTAGGCCCTAGGTTTCCAGGGCCGGGCCTCGCAGTGTACTGCCCACATTGCATGGTAGCTCGGGCTGCTAAGCTGAGTTGTCTTGGATTGGCCTCAGTTGTTTCCGAGCTATATATAAGAAGGGAAAAAATGGCAAAATTAGTAAGAATAAAACAAAAAAATAAAAAAAAATATGCAAATTAGAAACATTATATGAAAAAGTGGAATATGAATTAATTGACATTATTGGCTAGGAAAAAATGGCAATTAAAAAAAAAAAGGGAATTTTAAAAATGGTGTGGTTTGTATAGCGTCGGGACTTTAGACAATCAAAGTAAAGCACACCTTCAAATGGTATCGTCAAATGTGGTTTTAATACTAGAAATTTTTGTGATGGTTTTAAATATATTTTCATCTTTAATTATAAAATTTAAAGCTTCAAAAGTAGTGTGGATCCAGTAGATTTATGAAAACTTGAAAATCTTGAAAATTGACGGTCAAAAAATGCGTTACAAGATGTATTGTTTTCAAAACTTGAAATCTTTTTTTTTTTTTTTCATTCTATGCATCTTAATGTAATGATCAATTTGAGGATATTTGAGCATTAAAACTTCTAGTGAAAATTTTGAGGCGGGCTCTAATTTGATTGTTTAGAGCCTCGACTCTATATAAACTTTTTCTTTTAAAATATATTAAAAACATAAATCGCACAAAATATTGCAAGCCATTTATAGTATTTGATTTAGTGAAAAAAAAGATTGTTCAGAAAGAGACCATTTATCTTTGGAAAATTGTTTCATGCGGGTTGGACTACATATGCCCATATGCGGTCCAGAAAGTGTAAAGTTGTTTCATGCGGGTTGGACTACATATGCCCATATGCGGTCCAGAAAGTGTAAAGCACTCATCTTAAGATGAATGCTAAGTAGGTGTTCCATCTAAAAACAATGGAAACTAATGATCCAAATGTTTTCTTACTGGGATTATTATTTTTAGTTTTTCAAATTTATTTATTCTTTTATATTCATGATCTCCATGTTAGAGATTACATGTCCATAAAAATTAAGTCCAAAAATCCATCTAAAAAACGAATTTATTAATAGTCCCGCATTTCTACATATGCAGGCTTAGCCGTATGGAAACAGGGTTCTTTATCTTTTGTATATGGAGGTCACGATCATTCTTGTCCTTTAAATTTAAAAAATGTGTGGTTTGTATAAAGCTGATGCTCTAAACAATGAAGTAAAGCGCCTTCAAATAGCGTTGAAAAATATGCTTTCAATATTGGAAATCTTTGTGATAGCCTTAAAATATATTTTCTTCTTTAATTATGAACTTTAAAGCTTCCAAAATAGTATAGATCGAGTAGATCTATAAAAACTTGAAAATCTTGAAAATTGATGGTCCAAAAATGCCTTACAAGATATACTATTTCCAAAACTTGAAATCCATTTTTTTCTTATGTTGATGCATCTTGATGTCGAGATGATCAATTTTAGAATATTTGAGCATCAAAACAACTTCTTCTAGTGAAATTTTTTAGGTACGCTTTAATTTGATTGTTTGGAGTCTCGGCTCTATAAAAACTTTTTTTCATTTTAAAATGGGTGGTTGTAAGAGTACTATTGAATAGACATTAAGATTTGAAAAAAGTTATCAGACTTCCTGACTCATTTCAAGCCATCCAATTTGACATCTCCATGTACAAAAAAAAAAAATTTGTATTTTAATAGACAATCCTAAATGAACCTAAATTGAGAAAAATGAGATATGTTCCAAACTTTCAAGGTTGATGCTGTGATGGTCGGTTTTGATACGATCTATGCCTCTAATAATTTTCAAGCTTCCTCTTGGCGCCTCAAATCGTTGCTCCCAAATCAGTTTTTTTGTTTGGGTGCAATTTGCGTACGGATGCATCCGTAGCTGTAGAGGTAAGGTACACTTTCAAATTTTATAATGGTATATAATTTGATGTAAAATGTTTTTAGGATTATTTCAAAATTTATTTTTATATTTAATTATAAAATTAAAAATTAAAAAAATAGTTAAAATTAAGTAGATCTATAAACATATGAAAATCTTGAAAATAGATGGTGCAGATAATATATTGTAAAATGTACTATTTCTGGAACTTAAAGTCTTTTTATTTTTCATGTTCATACATCTCGATGTCGAGATGATCAATCAAAAGGTTTTTTAACATTAAAACTACTTTTTCTGATGGATTTTTGAGGTGCATCTGTAGTTCTACATTATAAGGTTGCGTCCTTATATAAACTTTTTCCTTTTTGTTTTGAATTTTGGTTTGAGAGATTTGGGATCCTCAAAAAATAAAATGAATGGTGAATTCGATTTTCAAATCTTCGAAGGCCTAAGTTTCTTGTGCGCTTTTTAGAAAATCAAAGATTGACCATCATAACGGAAGCATAAATTTCCAAAATCAGGAAAAAATATTGGCCAATCTCCAAAAATGTTATATATGTATATATATCTCGGAGAAGTCTTCCCAATGTCTATAGGCAAAAATGATCAGTGATTTCGCATATCCTCATCACCGTCTAAAGTTTATCATGGTCACTATTATCCGGTAGTATTTTATTTTTCATTTTTTTTCTATAAATTGGAATGATTTGAAATTTAGAATACGTGTACATCTTAATGAGGAGCACCTAATAATAATAATAAATAAATAAATAAAAATCGTAAAAAAACTAAAATACCCCCGAAATTTTTTGGGGGTATTTTGGTCAATTATTTTATGTAAAATATTTTTTTGACATTTTTAGTAGATTCTCCTATTTTTTATGAACACACGTTCCAAATTTCAGATCATTCTGATCTGTAGAAAAAAATGAAAAATGAAACACTACCGGACAATCGTGACCATGCGATAAACTTTAGACGGTGATGAGGATAAGTGAAATCACTGTTTATTTTCGGCTATAGGAGTTATGTAGTATCTTCTATATATATATATATATATATATGGCCTAGGCTTTGTGAAAATAAAATAAAGTCTCACATCAAATTCTCATTCGGAAAGCACTTTGGGCATAAAAAATCTTCATGATGGCTCTAAAATCAATTTTCAACACCAATAATAAAATTTAAAACTAAAAATATGTACTGACTTTGTAGATTTGTTAACACTTTTTTTAAAGGTGAAATGAATGGTCTAGATGATTTGTTGCAATATACTCTACTTTTAGAATTTGAAATCCTAATTTGTTTTCATTACCATAATGTTCAAGTTGAGATGATTGATTTAAAGGTCTTTCAACACTTGAATTGTATTTTTTGATGGGTTATAAGGTGAGGCTTTGCTTTTTTGATAGGGTGCAGCCCCATCGAACCATTTTCCTATATGAAAAGTTTATATAAGGTTGACACCTTAACATGTAGAATTAAGATGCACTCTATAATCCTTCTAAAAAAGTTGTTTTGATGTTAGAAAAACATATAATTAATCTTATCGACATCAAGATGTATAGATTTTGAGAAAAGAAAAGGACTTTAAATCTTATAAGTAGTACATCTTGCAAAACATTATCTAAGCCATCTATTTTCAAAATTTTCATGCATTTATACATCTGTTTGAAATAATTTTAAAATTTAAAGCTCAAAATTATAATTAGAGACAAAAATAGTTCCATTAATATACTAAGAAATTTGGCACAAAAGCACAAATTACATCTCATAACAAAGTTTAATTACATCTCATAACAAAGTTTAGAGGTGCACCTTTATTTGACGGAAAATGGTTTTATAAGGTTGCAACAGTAAAATGCAAAATTAAAGATGCATCTCGAAAATCCATTGAAAAATGTTGTTTTAATGTTGAAAAACCTTTTAATTGATCATTTTGACCTCGAGATGTATGAATATGAAAGTAAAAGAAAGATTTCGAGTCCCTAAAATACTGTATATTACAACACATTATCTAGACCATCCATTTTCAAGATTTTCATATGCTTATATATCTACTTGATTTTAACTATTTTTGGAGTTTAAAATTTTATACTTAGATATGAAAATAGATTTTCAGGGAATCCTAATTTTTTATACCAAAATAGATAAAATTTGGAGGTGCGATTGTTTAAGCCTTTAAGGTTGCATCCTTATAGAAACCATATCTGTGGTCCCTTACCCACACCGCACCCTTAATTTATTTATGGGTGCGGTTTATATAGATCGTAGGCTCTAAACCAATGGTTTAAAAAACGGATCGGTGACCCGGATCGGGCTTCCAAAAAATCGATCCGGATCGGCGAATCGG